CCTTGTGACTGTAGACATACTTTCTTTCACTAATAAGAACTTCCCAGGTTTTTGTTGTTCCGGCAGATCAGTTACTGAATTTTGTGCAGCAGAAAATGTTGAGTGGAGCATCTCCCTTCTGAGGAGCGGCTGAGGGAGCTGGGTCTCTTTAGCTTGGAGCAGAGGAGACTGAGGGGAGACCTCATTCATGTTTATAAATTTGTAAAGGGCGAGTGTCAGGAGGAAGGAGCCAGGCTCTGCTCTGTGATGTCCAATGACAGGACAAGGGGCAATGGGTGCAAGCTGGAGCACAGGAGGTTCAACCTGAACATGAGGAAAACTTTTTTACTGTGAGGGTGCCAGAGCATGGCCCAGGCTGCCCAGAGAGGTTGTGGAGTCTCCTTCTCTGCAGACATTCAAAACCCGCCTGGCCGTGTTCCTGTGTGACCTGGTCTGGTGATCCTGCTCTGGCAGGGGTTGGACTGGATGAGCTTTCGAGATCCCTTCCAACTCCTAACATTCTGTGATTCTGTGATCTGTGTGCTCCTGCTGTGTTCTTGTTACACAAATCAGTCAGCAGTGTTTCATAGGTAAAGCTCTAAAGCTGCTCTTGTCCTAACCCAACACACATTTATTTAGCACCCTGGCTGCAGTGTCCACCTTACTGTTCATGAATTTTCAGCTTCCCATTCCTTGAAAGATCTTGTTGAGATTCTTAGACTTATTAATAAGTGATTTGTGAATTTGCCTCTGTCCCTATCCCAGACCTCATATTTTTGCTTTTTCTGCTTCTATTAATATAGTAACATTATTCTGGGACCCTTTGCAATATTTCAACTCATAGAATTAGGGCCTTCTTTGCATTTCCTGCCATTACAACGACCTTACTCTTTTTTCACCCCGATCACTTCAAATCTTATCGAAAAATCTCTTCCTTGCCTTGTCTCCCAACTTCTGCTATTTCTCTCTGTAGCTGTATTTTGTGTAGATCCGAAGTTTTATGGAGAATACTGCATACAAAGATGCTACATGCAGTTGAGCACGAGGAGCAGTGGAGAGGAACATTGCATCAGCGTTTTCTGTTGCAGTGCCAGGACAGCTGTCCCTGTGCTGGCTGGGGAGGTTTTGTGTTTCTGCTCCTGCCGTCTTTCTCATGTTTGTCACAGCTGTCACAGTTTCTCCATGTAGTGATGATTCTGGGCATCACTGAGTGAGTGCACCTGATTGCCTACAAAATATCCCTGATGGGCCTTAAAGAAGATGCAAGTCACACCATTTCCAGATTTTTGTATTTTATTTTTTTTAACAGAAGTAGTTTTGGTGGTGCTCAGGCATCCCAAGGTGTGGGGGTGTGTACTGGAGCATGAATGACATCTGGCAATATCTTTCCCTTGCACAGCTGCTTGCCAGCTGTTGCTAAATTGAAAAGTGAACAAGTTTTAAAGGGGGTCCTCAGACTGAAGCAAAGGGATTGTATTTGTGTAATAACAAGTTGTTCTGACAACCTGTCCCTTGCAGCTGCCAGAGTCAGACTGCTCATGGTTACCTGCAAAATGATTACCTGAGAAACAACTTTAACGTGGTCATGTTCTCAAGGTGCTCCTGTCCTCTCAGGCTCAGCGTGTGTCCACGGTGCCTCAGAGCACATTTTAAGGTGGAGGAATTTCTTGATGTAAGAGCTTCCTCCCTGACCTGTGCTGCTGAAGTCAGCCTTTCTGCCACTCACAGTGGATCAGTAGTACCCATGCTGGCGCATGTTGGAGATCAACATAAACTTTTATGCCCTGCTGCTTTTGGTAGGTAGGTGGAATGGCTGCCCCTGAACCTGCCTGCGTTGCTCTCCCAAAAGCTATTTCATACTAATCAGATGAAAGTTGTTATTTCATAGCTGTCCGTGTATCCTGCTGACGGGTATTAACTGTGAACAACCGGGTTGTGATGCCACAGGCTGACAGCTTTCCAGTGGTACGTCTGGCTGTAAGTCCCCAGCCCTTGCAGTCTCTGAAAGCAGTGGAGACTCTGGTTTATACAAGCCAAGTGTCCCCGAAGAGGATTCATTTAACAGGTGTGTTTTTGAGAGAAATACTTGCTGTGTCCCTTTTGCCTGCGACATGAAAAAGCCCTGCTGTGTATTGTTGACGAATCATGCGTTAGGAATTGCCTGTTTCTTTTTTCAGGTCATCTGCCTTTAAGGAGCATGTTCTGTCTTGACTGCAGGGCGTATTACTCAGGCTTCAGCCAGATTGCCAGGCAAATGCAAGTGAGAACAATGTCTGTCTCGTCTTGTTTTTCTGTCCTGTTCATAGCTGCATATTGCATATAATCTTTCCTGCTTTCTTAACGTCAGGAACAGAGGCCACCATTATTGTTTCACACCTAAGTCAAAAGGGCATGAATTAAGGATTTAATAAAACTGTTTAAAATTTGAGGGTCCTTAAAAGATGTGAGGGGAATATTGACTTGGAGTTCTTCTTGCTCCACCAAAAAAAGTATCTGAGTAGATTGAAAAGGCTTTTTTTCTTACTGATAATTAAAAGGAACATGCAGACTTTTAAGACCATGTTTTAAAAGGTGAGTCACAGAAGCAAACAAATAGCTTTGCTTTTCCTCTTCACTTTCTTCTTGTAGAAAACAGGCGACGATTGATGAAATCTGAAAAAGAGCCTGCTATAGTCAGAGCATGAGGATGGGCCGCAGCTCTTCAGAGTTGTCCTGAAGTCTGTGGATATCTCAGCCTGGGCAGTGTCCTGCCACTGGCATCGAGCAAGGGGACAGCAGTAAGGATCACATCTCCTGTGACTAGCCTGCCTTAGGCTGCGTCTCAAAATCATGGTGGTGCCTGCATCACCCCAAAGGGACACCCTGCCAGGACAGGTCTGTATCAGCAGTGTGGAAGGCACCGTTGTGAAGGAGCTGGTGTCAGCCAGTCTTTGCTCTGTCAGTTAGACCTCACTGATAGCCCACGTGTTGATGTTTAAAAACCATCATTTGATGAGCAGAGTAACCCAGTGTTTCCCAAACACGGGTGAATTTTCTCTGATGTTGAATCTGATCACACAGCATCTGGTTTGACAACAATATACACTGCAAATAGCACCATGAAAGTATACAAACAAAGCACACAAAGCTCAGGTTGCTGCAGAAGTCACACAGCTGGTCCTTTCACTCGTACGTACTGCTTGCTGCTTTTACTTCTTACAGTCCTTTTTCTGCCACTGGGAGAACAGATCATGCGTGGATGTTTAAAGTACCAAGCATATCGACCTGGATGGTGTACACTGGAAGGAAGCTCAGGGCACATTAATGAACTACGTAAGGGTGAGTTGGGAAGGCACGAAGGAGAAGTAGGAAGGAGGATGAGAAGTGGGAATTTCTTGCTGGCAGGTATCTAACTCTTCAGTATCTTGTACTGCAGAGAAGGGGAAGAAAGGAGTGAGGCTGAAAATGAAAATGGCAGATTCCCGAGATGGGAGGCAAAGAGATTAATGCTGGGGAAATAAAATGGTATGATGGGAGAGAAAGCAGGAGGAACTACTATGAAGAGAGATAGTGAGACATGTTTCAAAGGAAAGTGGAGCAGGAGTGCTGCAGTTAAGGTCAGTGGTGTGTGGGCTGCGGTGGAGTATCTGGCTGGGCTGGAGCGGAGAAAGCAGTGCCCTTGGCTGTACTTTCTTACCAGGATGACTGACTGAGTTCACAAACATGAAACACATGCTCTGACACGTGGATTTTATTGACTGAGAGCGGGAAAGGTGTTTGCACGTGCCAACATGGCCTGAAAGAATCCCTTCCCAACCTCTTGAAGTAAAATTAACCTGAGGCAACTAAAGCATGTCTCAACAGTGCGAGAAAACCTTTTTGACTTACTGCTTAGGTGTCATGACTCCAGATTCTTACCATTGCTTAAAAGGTCTTTCACCTACAGTGAATGCTAATGGTGGCAGTCAGTGCTACGTTCCTGTTCCCCCTTCAAGTATCTGTGCTCACAGTGTACTTGTACACAGCCTTGGCATTTGCACTCTGACCAAGCAGGCAGAGAGGACTGCCAGCCTGAATCAGCAGCAGATCAGACATCCTTCCACTGGTCTCTTTTTGCTAAGCTTTCCTTGCCCAGACTGTCTCTTTGTCACCCTCCCTCCAGAGAAGTGATACCACTTCACCACTAAATCGAGACCAGCTCTCTAGGCAAGCCACAGACTTTTGGCACAGCATAAGAGGCACTGTGCCTTCCAGGATTTTTCTCTCTTGGAAGTGCAGTCCTTTCTGTCAGCAATTCCTCTCACCTTTGCATTACCTGGGTTCTTCCAGTATGCTTATATGTAGGTTTTGCTCTTCCACTCTCTACCACCAGGTAGCTCTGTTCTCACTTCCTTGGGATGGAAGTAATACTGTCTTACTGGTGGGGAAAATGGTGCCTCTAGAGGTATTTTTAGTTGCTCAGATATATCAATGAGGTTGGAGCCCATTTAACACTTGAAATAAAAGTAGCATGTTTTATATGAAACTGGAAGATTGAATGGGAAGGGAAACAGAAGAAGGAGAGATTATACAGGCAGTGGCTTTCTTCTGTTGGTATTTATTTTTAATAATTTTTCCAGATCCATATAAATGTGAACACTGAAAGGTGTCATTGTCTTTTTCTTTTTTTTTTTTCCCTTCTGGAAAAATAGATCCAAGTTGGATAAAATAGAGGAAAATGTGACATAGGTGCCAGGGACTCACTGTTCTGTTGCTTGCTGGGCAACAGCAGCGGCTGGTCACGATAAGTTTGATGCTTGGGAACTGAAGAGTTTTATTGTACATCTACTGCAAGCCTTGGGATCTCAAAGGTGATCCACTGTGCTGAATTGTCTGAGGGTGATCAGCTTAGAAAGGGTTTGTAGGTCTGAGTACCTGAGCGTAAGACTGCCATCAGTCTGGTGCTGTCCTCGCTGTAACATACTTTGCCATCAGCAGCTTTGGAAGGTTTGGTGTTGAGCTTTCATAGTTCTGGCAGAATCGTGGACTCGATGAAGTCGGACCTAAACCGGCTGGGAAGACTGCTGCTTAACCCACTCACAAATGAGCTGGTGAGCAATGGCCTGTTTGGGGGGGAACCAGGGTAAAGAACTGTCTTGCTTCGAAGATACGGGGTTTCTCTTGAGACCCTCCACAACTTCCTCTAGGCCAAACCAACGGGCTTCCTCTAGCTCCAGGCTGTCCATCCTGATCTGGAAAGAAGTCAGAGAGTACCAGTTCCTTAAATCAGATTAAAATGTGAGCAGTGGTACCTTGCTTGGTCTTGCACCCACAAGGATCCCATGCCTGAACACCCAGAGTACTTTATCCATGCCAGATTTAAGTGCTGATGCCAATACAGGAAAGGACATTACCATCCACCCATGCTTTGTTGTCTTGGGTTCCTTAGGGAAGCCACAGATCAGGGAGCCCTATTCCATCATGGCATTGGCCTGCAAAGTACCAGTGGCTGAGCACAGTAATTAACAGTGCAGAATCTGCATGTTCTGTAGCAGATAAGATATTAATACTGGAGAGTACCTCCTCTGCAAAGTTCAGAGTCAAAAATATAGGGGTGTTGGGCTCTGGATCTGTGTAAGTGCAGTGACTTGTGCAAAATCTGGCATGTTGCAACAGGAGATACGATTTTGAAGCTTGTTCTTCACTTGTAGAGAAAGGTGATGGAAAACTGCATTTAGAGAGGATCTGATGCTCTCCAAACTAAAGCCTGTGGACTGAAGGAGATTTTGCTACTTAAGGCGGGGGCAGGAAATGCCTTGGGGAAACCCGAGGCTGCTCACCTCAGCCTGCTGTGCTCTCACCAAGGCGTGACAAGCTATCATTAAGGAGCTGCTGGGAAAGGGCCAATGCTGCGAAGCCGAGTACCGGACTGACTCCACCTCCAGGCCCACCTCTTCTGCCACCTCTCTCCGAACTGTCTCCTCCACGTTTTCACCTACAAGCAACCAAAGTTAGGTAAGGACAGTCTGGCCTTGGGGCAGCAAACCGTGGCAAATCAAATGTAGGCACACTGATTTCTGAGGTGTTCCAGCCCTGACTGTGCTGACCTGGGAACACTTGTCAGCAGGATGCTCAATTAAATTCAACAACACTGCTTACCTCCCTTAAACAGAGGCACCAGAAACATTTTTGGGCTTGTCTGTATACAGCTGGTGAACAGAACAATGCTGCCTCTCTTTACCAGTCTCCTTTTTAAGCCATTTGCCCTCCTGTAACAAGAAGTCCGTAGTTCATCTGAGCCAGATTGCACTAGACACAAAATGGACTAAAAAGGTATCTGGGGTTCTAACTTTAAGAGTCTTATATTGTATTTCCCTTTAAGACCTAGAGCGACTGATATGCACCCATAATTCCCATTCTCTTCAGATACATACAGCTATTTTGAATTCAAGGCTGTTTAGATTCAGTATGTTTTCCCTGGTACCACTTATGTGTCCATCCTTCTCTGTGAACAGGCATTTGATTGATGTCCCCCATTCTGTCCCCCAGGCCCTGCATGTCTGAGCCCACTGTGCTGATCAGAGACCGCCTTACCCATGTCACAGAAGCCGGACAGAGCGCTGTACATCCCCGGGGGAAATAAGGGCTGTCGTGCAAGCAAGCACCGGCTCCCGTCAGACACCAGGGTGATAACCACCGGAGACGTCTGGCAAATGCATCAAAAAACAAAGCAGGGAGTTCAGACCAAATAAGTAAGTGAAAATTGTTGCTTTTTATAGCCCACTGGGCATCACTGGATGAACGCTGAAGTACCCAGCTACATGCAAACCATTCCCGCTGCCTTTTACAGCTTCCCCTCCCTGTGACCCAGCGGCATTGGTTTGTCACCACAGGGCCCCTGTGTTGCTCATCTTTGCTGTTCAGGTGCTCACCTGTGGGTAGTAAGTTATTCCACTGGCTTCGCAGACACGCTTGCTGCCAGATAGGTTTTTCTGAGTGGGCTGCCCAGTTTTGCTACAGTACTGGTGGGAATCATGCCACCGGAGAAGGGACTGGGCCTGCAAACACCAAGAGAGAAACACAAATCTTACTTATACCCGGGGCAAAGAGATCATTCAGAGCAGTCTCCCTGAAAGATACTTTGGTGTCTAAGGTAAATGAAAGTATGGGGACTGCTTTGAAAAGCAGCAGATTCTGCAATCGGTGTTTCATGCTTCTTGCTCTAGCATCCAAATTTGACCGTGTTTGGGGGAGGTGGGGAAGAGCTGTTCTTTATTGGGATATCATGGGAGTAGTAATGGGAAATGAACTATTTTATGGAGTCTCCAACCCCGAATACTTTCTTGAAAAATAACCCAGGCACCACAGACATTATGGAGCCGGAGAAGAAACATGAGCTATTTCTACATAAGGGTCAGGACAGCTGATTTTCACACACAGGTCTTTTCTTAGGGCTTCCACGCATAGGGCATCTGCAGAGTACCAGCTTACAAGTGAGTAGTTTTAAAAGAGCAGCTCTGAGAGAAGATCTGTAAGTTCATTCATGAAATTCAGTTTGCCTAGTAGTTTACAGAAAACTAGTGCCTGATAGTTGTTAAACTGAGAACAAACCAGGATTGGTGTGCCTGCTGATAAAAACGTGTTTCATGCTGGGCCTACAGCAGGTTGATAGTAAATGGCCAATTAATGTGGTCATTTTTAAGCCACTTGTCTGTTTCTGTTGCATCTTGCTTTTGAAATAGCAAATTTGGGAAAGCTGCTGTAAATTATAGTGTATTTGCATGTAGGTCACTGAAAGGGTATAGTAGGTACGCCCACAATATGTATTTAATCATAAAACAGTATGGGAGACAAGGAGAAGGAGTGATGTTAGAAATCGCAGCTTCTTTTAAGTCAAAAATCCTGTACCATACCGAAGCCAGCAAAGGAGAATCCTTCTCATCCACTACGAATAAAGCCTTTCGTAGGTCAGTAAACGATCCCCTGAGTTCAGACTCAACGACTGATTTCTCCAAGGCTCCTGTTTAAAACAACAACAACAACAACGTCTTTGATCTCATAAATTGCAGTTATTGTCCCGACTTTACGCCCTTCATTGTTCCGGTATACAATTTCTGGAAGTTCCCATGGAAGTGACATCACATCAGTGGTAACATTCCCAAATGTTAAGTGACCTGCCAACAGCCCACCTTTACTAACACACACACAGGAACAGCCGTGCAGTTCTGTGGCTCTGACCTGCCACACTCACAACAGCTCCTACAGAGATGTTGCCAAGGCAGCATCTTCACCTCAGTGCATTGAACGCGATGCTGACACAGATGGACAAGGAGTAATCCCAACCTAAATCCAGGGCAAAGTGTGGTACGTGCTCATCTGAACAGCCGATCAGCACCGACTTCTCTATCCAGTGTTCCGTCTCTTTCAATTTCTCCAGGATCCTTTTTGTCTCTAAACAGCAGGGGAAAGGAGAAGAAAAAGTTGTGATGAAAGCAGATTCATACAGCCATGATTTTTTCTCTGGACCTGCAAGGCACACACAGTCTTGGCTCAAGGCAGGGTGCTCGTGTGAGAGAGGAGGCCAGACAAGTGGTCCCACCCATACGGAGACCAAAAGTCTGGCTTTCCTCCTAGCTGTTGCTTTGACAAGGTTTGACCACATCAAGCTGAAGATGCAAATGTTTTCCTGTCCATTCTGTTTCTGTCCTACACCAGCCAATACCTTTCTAACTTCTCCTGTGTTAAGCCAAGTTAAAGGTTATTACCTTTGTCAGTTAGACCTTGCTTGTTTCCCTGCCAGCCCTTTCTCTTCAAAAGGCATGTCCCAAATGTTTAAAACTGATCATCTCAAAACAGATCAGGTATATGTTGATATCACATGTGTGGAAAGACTATGAGATTGTGTCTGCATGCCAAGGTTTTAACTCTTAAGTAGTCTTTGGTTTTTAACAAATAGCATGCTGCATACAGCAGGAAGTTCCTGCACACCTCGGTAGCTTTTCAGCCTCCATGTAAGGAACTGCTTATTGCAAATGGCTCTGTATCATTTCAGCTGTGTGATCCAGGAGATGTTTCTCTCTGGACCCCTGCTTACCTGCTGCACTGAGCTGTGGTACCAGATATTTCTCTTCAACTTTTTGCAGGAAGGGGGAGAGACTGTGAAAGAGGTAGAAAGTTCCTGAGGTCAGAGCTTGTCTACAAAGGCTGTCATCTTCCTTTAGCTCATTTAAGTATCTGCAGTGAGAAAAGCATTAGGAAGATGAATTAAAAATAATGTTGAGCTTACCCGTGTTATGCTTAGTTGGGCGCATTTATTTTGCGCAGAGGAGGGGGGCTGCATGGATAGGACAGATTTTATCTATTCCATGTGCTTCTAGAGTTTTGTCCAATCTGGATGGCTCTAAGTCCTGTTTGGCAAGGTTACTGGGCACCTCCAGATGCTGAATACGCCTCTCATCAGGCTATGTGCATTACTGCAGGGGATGTTCTACTTGCCACGCTGACAGGAGAGGTAGAGACCGAGCTGGAGTCATAGGGCCCAGCTGGCCAGGGCCTGAGTTAGGAAAAACAGTCATTGGAAAAAGGATGCCAGGATGTGCTTCTTTCAGTCTGTCTGAAGTAGTATTTAAAATGAGGTGAGCAGCGTCACTTCAAGTCTGTCTTGTATTTTAGGAGACCTTTAGTTAGGACAGCAAGCATAGGCATTCATTAACAGAGCTTCAGCCTGAGAGAACCAGTTCTTATCAGTGGTGAAGGGAGAGGAGAGATTTTGACTGTTACCGTTTACAGAGCTCACATAGCTCTACTCAATTATTGCTGAGCTGTTAAAAGATTAACCCCCAGCTTAGATTTCGGTAGGGCTCGTGACAGAGGACATCAGAGCGCCAAACTCTGGTCTGCTCGCTGTACACAAGAATCGGATGAGAACTAACCTCATTTTTCTAACATAGGTGGAGTGTAACCTGCAGATGAGAGAGGAAGCTCTTCTATACACTGCTTGATAAATCCCAGCCATAACCACTTACAGGTAGCTGTCTCTGCCTAAAAAGAGAAACACAGAATGTAATGCAGCTGCCCTGCGAAGTTAAGTTTGATTTAAAAGGGGAAATAACCCACTGCTACCAGAAATCTCCCTCTCACAAGCTGGCATTTGCTGTCCAAAATGATCACTTTGGTCTTAGTTTCTAGTCACACATCAAACTGAGTTTCAGGCAATCTGTAAGACTATTTCAAGATACCTCAGCTTGTTTCCATCTGTGAGTGTGCACCGAAGGTCTTACAGATACTGCTGTAGGACTAGGCTAGATGTCCCTGTCCTAAACTCCTCTATCCCCGGGGAAAAGAGCAGTGAAGGTGGCTGCTTGCTTGTTTGTTTCCTACACAGTTGTAATGGCCTCGATCCAACTGAACATCCCATTGCAGCACACAGCAGATCTGTGGGAACGGCACTGATGCCAGAAGAGAATGAAAGACAAAATATCAGCTGCGGAAGAGAACTCCCCGCGTTAGACGAGAGACAGCAGTTGTGGCTGAACTGGATCATCTCCAGCTATGAATGTTTTTTGTGCCAAAGGATCCTACCATGTTTTCAGCTCAGGCAGTCATGGACTGCAGTTTGAACTCAGCTTCAGGATGTGAGAAAATAGCCAGAATAGCATTCATCTGAAACAAAAAGGAACTGTGATTCATAATCCTTAATGATTACTTTGAATGTTTCACTTTTCAACCACAGAACTCGAAGCCCTTTAGAGAGGAAGTTACATTTGCTTCGTTTTACAGACTGAGATACATATGCAGTGCCAAAGCAGAGTCTGTGAGTCCTTCCTTTCCATAAAGGTCAGTGATGGCTCCCGAGCCTGGGTGGTGCCTGAACAGAGGCTCCTGTCTGTACACGGAGACTTCACCTTGCGGCTTCTGACACCTCTGCCCCGGATCCCTCGTTCCCACTGTCCCAGCTGAGGGTGTTCTCCACCAGGATGATCCCTGGGGAGACGGGGGAGCCAAGCCCGCTGCGGAAGCCGCCGGGGAGAGAGCCGGCGTCCCTGCTCAGCGCAGCCGCGGCGGTGGCAGCCCGGCACGCTGCCGACGGGCCCGGCAGACGCGTGTGGGGAGAGCGACTGGCGCAGGGACCGCGTCTGAAGCAACTTCAGGATTATGCGTCCCTCGCTTCTCCACCCCCACGTCTCGTATAGCCTGGAGTGTGAAAATCTCCAGCGCAGCCCCCAGCGTTGAATCGAGGAGTTTATAAACAGTTCTGCACTTTGCTCTGGAATGGGCAGCGGGATGTGACCGGCTGGGGCCAAGAGGAATAGCTTGTACCTGGAACGATTAAATGCAACGTATGCAGGCGTTTAACCCCTTCCTTCCTAGTACCCACAGCACCAGATTTTGGGTAAGGACCACTGAAAACTCAGAGATGGTAAAAACTTGAGCTGGGGAGGCCGGCCCAACCTTCCCCTGCCTTGCCTGCAAATCTCACCTGCGCCATGCAGCTGGCGGGAGGTGGAGGTGGGTTTGGGCTTGTCCTTGTCCTTCCCCGCACGTCCCCCACTTACTGCGCTCCGTGCAGAAGCGGCGCTATCTCCAGGGAACGGCTGGGGGAGTCCCACGCTGACCTCAGTCGGGAGCGCTGCTCCAGCGAGCGGGGACAGCGGCCTCAGCGGGGCCGTCCCTGTGCCCCCACTGGGAGCGCTGGGAAATGTAGTTCTGCACAGGCTGCTCGCCAGCCCTTGGCAAAGCTGGCTATCTGCTCCGGACTTTAACTCTTGGAGTTACTGAGGCTGCCTGACAGTCAACTCTCTTTTTAATTTTTTTTTTTTGGTCTTCCCCACCTGCTTCACTCTGTCAGAAATCCCCACGCTGTATTTTGCCAAGCAGAAGTTATTATGAGAACAGTGCTACTGCAGTAATTTGAGCTGTTCTTAACAGAGGAGTTTGTTCCTCTTAGTTTCCTTCTCTTCCCCTCCCCCAGCTCTGTTTTTTGTATCGGTAACATAAGAGCATTGTTTACAGTTAAGGACCATATGTCCTCAAACAGGAAAATATGCCAAGAGCTGTATATATCTAAAGGACGGAGCTGCTTAGTGTTCAAGCTCTCAACCCCTCAGTTGAATTTGCAAGTGAATAGCTCTTATTAGAAAGTGTGCTTTGCCAAGACAGATGTCAGAATAATGACAAATATTTTTTGTGCCTTTATAACTGAACAAGCAGATTCCTCTCAAGTACTGAAAACATTATTCTGGGCTGGAACCTACCTGCCTATATTTAGCACAAAGAGAACATATGAAAGTTAATGTTTTCAGGGCAGCTTTTTGGTCATGAGTTGAGCCACTCTAATCGAGAATTCACGTCACATAATTTGAGAGCATAGCTTGTAAAAATAATAGATAGAATATGCAGGGAAGCAGCACTCTTGTTACCAGCGTTACTTACAAGTTTAGGTTTAATTATGCTTGACTGCTATTTGTGTGCTTCCTGGCACAGAGCAAGCCCAATCTTATTAATCCACGAGGCTAATTGGATTAATGGACAAAGCACATCTTCCCTTAATAAGATAAAGGATTGAAATATAATCTCTAAGGGAAGTATCCACCCTGCTGTTAAAACAAACTAACAGATTTATTGACCTTAAGTGCCCCCAGAAATGGATCTTGCCAGAAGAGCTTGCTTTTGAGGGAAGCAGTTGGGGGAGATACTTTGGGACAGCCTTCAGCCCAAAGCAGACAGTTGTTTGGTAAGTGCACCCCTATGCAGCTGGGGAAAAAAAAAGATTAGCCCAATCATGTACACCTGGCCTCTGTGCTGTGCAAAGGTATGCAGAGAAAATGGGATTAGACTCCCTTCTGTGACTGACCTGACCCCTGGGAAGCTGTGCGGTCTATGAGAGATTCCTTGTGCCCTCTGCAAGGGTCTGTACACCTGCTTGTGATTGCACATTGCCCAGCTAAATACTTGGGCAGCAGATAAGCAGGGGGAGACAAATTTGAAAGTAACAGAGGCTTTCTCATCATTTTTTCATCTCTTTAATTTAAGGAGCACAGTATCAGTTCTCTTCTTAGCAATTAGTTGCTTCTTTGTAAGTATTTTTGAACCGGCCTCTTGAGTTGTGTGAATTGCAGCTATAAACTGTGTATATTATGTTTGTCCTCCATGCTAGAAGCAATCCTGTGAGTGAAGCGAAGGCCTGGCCATACTAATGCACCTCTTGCAGCTTCCTGCAGCTTACTAATTTGGGCTTTGGCAGGCCACCAGAGGAAGTGAATCCCTGAGCCTTCTCCTGATGCAAGAAGAGCAAACAAAAGGAGCAGGCAAGGAGGCCACGGGCAGTGGGAACAAACACTTGTGATCTCTTACGTGGAGAAGACTGCAAATAGGGCAAATCTTTGGTCTTGTGTTGCTAAGATCTTTTTTTTAATCTGGGCTTGTAAAATACTCATACTGGTATTAGCAGTTGGTAAAAGGGTTTTCAAGCCAAAAAAGTGGCTGGAAGATGTAATTCTAGACTAATAACGGTTATGCTAGTAATCTTGCCTTTTTCCTGCCATTCTGTTTTGTGTCTTTCCTGCTGCCCCCAATAAGCAGAAACAAGCATTAGAATTGCTAACAGCTGGCCCTTGCAAAACAACTGTTAATTGCTTTAAATACGTAAAACTGGCAAACTCACAGTGGAAACTTATGGTTAAGCCACAAGAAACCTCTTGGTAAACAAAAAAAATAAAAATTAAAAATTCTTTTTTAGGAAGAGCCCCAGGAAAGAGAAACCACTTCTTTAAAGAAAAAGTTAATGAGTAGTTATTCCCCTCTGTGATTAAATTTTACATTCAAACTAACCAAATCTGGCTTTGCTCTAAAGTTAGACTTGTAGGGTACGTTACATATATGAGGGACTCGTGCAGTTTCTCATACTTAGGGTGGGGACCTTGAAAGAAAGACAGAAACTGCCAAGTTTGATACTTGATTACATTCTGTGCTCCTAGCACTTGCACAGGCGTCGAGGAGACACTTGAATGTCTGACATTTTAGTAGGAGTCAGTGATTTCAGCTTATTGGATAGCGTGAGTGTGTTTTGTCTTCTCTCCTCCCTGCTGCTTAGGGAAGGTTCTCAAACTCTGCTGCCCTGCACAAAATAACTGCTGAGACAGGCTCCAGCCTCTTGACTGCAGGTCATGACTTCCTCTCGGGAGTGGATCTGCACTGACTGTTTGCTCAATGTGTGTGAAACTGGGTGAGGCTTCATCCCTTTACGAAGGGTTATACCTAAGTCGTTAATACACTTTAAAAAGCTAAGCAGCCCTGCGAGCTAGCTGGCTATGATATTAAGATGACTCACCAGTGTCTTAAAACACTGCATGCAGGTCATGACCTGTTTTCTCCAAAAGGATACTGAAGAAGTGGAAAAGGTTCAAAGAGGACAATAAGCACGACCAGAGACCTGGAGTGTGGCTGCTGCAAGGACCAAGGAGGCTCTGACACTTGAGCCTGCATACAGGACAGGTACCAACTGTGCTGTCTCGTCCCATGCAGGAGGCTGGTTAATCACATCTAGCTGGAGCCATGTTCCCGGTGAACAGATGGAGGTGGTTTTCCATGTCCTGCCTAAGGGATGGTGCAACTGCTAGGGCAGGGATGTTGTAGATGCAAAGCAGTTTTAGCTCAAAAGGAGAAATGCTTAACAGAGAACTCTGTTGAGGGTTACTAAGTAGATGGATGACATCAGGCCGAGAACATCCCCAGGTTGAGAGTGTTTGGAGGCTGTGACATTATTCTAGGCAGCATGGGCTAAAAGAAAGCTTTGGTGGGAACCACTACAGATGTATTCTTAAGAGGCCTCTTGTGCTTCACTCTTGGTTTAGATAGACCTTTCTTTTAGTGTATTTCAGCTTGGGGCCTATGGAGTGCTTCTGTGGGATTGCTCAGAAGAGGAAGTGTGGTGTTAGCCTACAAAGGAGTCAGCGTTGCTGCCAGAAAACACATAGGGCTTGCAAATCCCAAAGAAAGTCTGAAAGCCTCCTGAAA